CCCAGCTGCCTTGAGATCATTGACAAGTTCCTCCCGAGTAGTTCTGGGCTGATTCCTCACCGTTCTCATTATCATTGAAACTCCACAAGGTGAGATCTTGCATGGAGCTCCAGACTGAGGGAGATTGGCAGTTAATTTGTTTCTTCCATTTGCAAATAATCGGACCAACTGTTGTCACCTTCTCACCCAGCTGCTTGGCGATGGTCTTGTAGCCCATTCCAGCCTTGTGTAGGTCCACAATCTTGTCCCTGACATCCTTGGAAAGCTCTTTGGTCTTGGCCATGGTGAAAAGTTTGGAATCTGGATTGATTGATTGCTTCTGTGGAAAGGTCTCTTTTAAACAGATAACGAGCTGAGAGGGCTCCCAATCTCAGCTCGTTACTTGTATAAAATACACCTGGGAGCCAGAGATCTTGCTGACTGATAGGGGATCAAATACTTATTTCATTCATGAAAATGCAAATTACTTTATAACTTTTTTTGTAATGCATTTTTCTGGATTTTTTTGTTATTGTTGTGTCTCTCACTGTTCACATAAACCTACCATTGACATTGTAGACTGATCATTTCTTTGTTTTGTGGGCAAACTTACAAAATCAGCTGGGGTTCAAATAATTTTTCCCTGACTGTAAGTCTGCAGCAAATGCTGGTAAATGCTGTTACTGTGGTGTTTGGAGATGAATGCCAACAGGCTCACTATGAAAATATCAACATATAAATATTTCTCAGTTATTAAATGTAATAGTGTGTGTCAGCATGACACAATCTGCTAACTAGCACAATTGTCGATAAGATACAGAGTAAAGATATTTTAAGCAGAGTGCCACATGGTGTTTTATTGGTGCCAGCCTGCCCTCCATGGAGGACCTGTACACCTCACGGGTCAAAAGAAGGACAGAGAGGATCACTGCAGACCCCTCACACCCTGGACACAATCTGTTTGAACTCCTCCCCTCTGGACGGCGTTACAGGTCACTGTGCACCAAGACAACCAGGCACAGGGACAGTTTCTTCCCCTGGGCCGTCGCACATCGAGAGACTGAAATTTTTGCCCATTCCTCTTTGCAAAACAGCTCGAGCTCAGTGAGGTTGGATGGAGAGCGTTTGTGAACAGCAGTTTTCAGTTCTTTCCAAAGATTCTCGATTGGATTCAGGTCTGGACTTTGACTTGGCCATTCTAACACCTGGATATGTTTATTTGTGAACCATTCCATTGTAGATTTTGCTTTATGTTTTGGATCATTGTCTTGTTGGAAGACAAATCTCCGTCCCAGTCTCAGGTCTGTTGCAGACTCCATCAGGTTTCCTTCCAGAATGGTCCTGTATGTGGCTCCATCCATCTTCCCATCAATTCTAACCATCTTCCCTGTCCCTGCTGAAAAAAAGCAGGCCAAAACCATGATGCTGCCACCACCATGTTTGACAGGGGGGATGGTGTGTTCAGGGTGATGAGCCGTGTTGCTTTTACGCCAAACATAACGTTTTGCAGTGTTGCCAAAAAGTTCGATTTTGGTTTCATCTGACCAGAGCACCGTCTTCCACATGTTTGGTGTGTCTCCCAGGTGGCTTGTGGCAAACTTTAAACAACACTTTTTATGGATATCTTTAAGAAATGACTTTCTTCTTGCCACTCTTCCATAAAGGCCAGATTTGTGCAGTATACGACTGATTGTTGTCCTATGGACAGAGTCTCCCACCTCAGCTGTAGATCTCTGCAGTTCATCCAGAGTGATCATGGGCCTCTTGGCTGCATCTCTGATCAGTCTTCTCCTTGGATGAGCTGAAAGTTTAGAGGGACGGCCAGGTCTTGGTAGATTTGCAGTGGTCTGATACTCCTTCCATTTCAATATTATCGCTTGCACAGTGCTCCTTGGGATGTTTAAAGCTTGGGAAATCTTTTTGTATCCAAATCCGGCTTTAAACTTCTCCACAACAGTATCTCAGACCTGCCTGGTGTGTTCCTTGTTCTTCATGATGCTCTCTGCGCTTTAAACGGACCTCTGAGACTATCACAGTGCAGGTGCATTTATACGGAGACTTGATTACACACAGGTGGATTCTATTTATCATCATTAGTCATTTAGGTCAACATTGGATCATTCAGAGATCCTCACTGAACTTCTGGAGAGAGTTTGCTGCACTGAAAGTAAAGGGGCTGAATAATTTTGCACGCCCAATTTTTCAGTTTTTTATTTGTTAAAAAAGTTTGAAATATCCAATAAATTTTGTTCCACTTCATGATTGTGTCCCACTTGTTGTTGATTCTTCACAAAAAATTACAGTTTTATATCTTTATGTTTGAAGCCTGAAATGTGGCAAAAGGTCGCAAAGTTCAAGGGGGCCGAATACTTTCGCAAGGCACTGTATTTATGAATATATCGTTTTGGTACCTTTTCTCTTAAACTCACATATTTACTTGTTGTATATTGACAGGCACTGTACTGGTGTCAAAATCCTTGTGTGCTGAACATACTTGGCCAACTACGTCATTAACTTCTGGTTTTTCAAAAATGTACAAATTAATGCAATATGTAACAAAACTAGAAAAATACATTTTCTGAAGAAAATGCGTATGGATGCTGACCGCTAAAAGATCGCCCTGAAAATGCTGAAAATTTTGACATCTGAATGGTTTTGCTAGCTGAAAGTATGCTGATGTAGAATTTTCCTATTCATTTGAAAGAGGCAAGATTTTCAAAATAAAGCTAAATATTTTAAAAGTATGAAATTTAGAAAACTTCTGAAAAGAAGCATGAATGTCCTTGAAGAGCTGAACATTTT